GAAAGGTGGAAAGAAAGAGAAGAAGAAGGCGACCAGCAGCAAGGTGGATGGACTCAGTTTCAGTGGTGATAGGTACACCACTGGAAGACCTGAAAGACCAGGTTAGAGACAGATCATCATGGAGAAAACCTATCCATGTGGTCCCTAAGAGTCAACAACAATGACTTGACAGCACATAATCAATCAATCCTCAAGGTAATTTCTTCCTGTAGATTTGCATGATTCCTATCTTACTTTCAAGCCAGGATACAAACTAAGACTACAGGAAGAGGCCCTGTATAATCACTAGTTAGCAAAACAAAGCCCATAGAGCACACTTGCTTACCCATGTTTTGGCAAAACAGAACAGGAAAGGAAGATATCAAATCGACCACTAACGGCCCTGAGAAGATTCCCAACACCCAAACCTTGGTCTCTGACTTTCCAGCATTTTCAGCACTGAAAAATTGAGTACAAGCTCCTGGTTTGCACTGACTATGCCCATGGGAGGGTGAGTTTGGATTGCTGAGTCACTGGGTGACCTATATACCCCCCCCCCAAAAATGCTAACTACCCAAAGGGGGCCAAATTCAGTATCATCTATTTAAAAAAAAGTGCAAGTCCTATCCTGTTGTCCTCTTCCTCCTCATAGATACAACTCCAACTTAGTTTGGTGGTGAATCTTCTTCCTTTGAAAAGTTAAAGGAAAGATGAGACAAGACAAGACAAGACAAGACATTTGGTCACAAGGAGAGGGGTTAGTGTTCCCTCAACACACTTAGCCATGTCAGTAACAACTGAACAGCTGCCTTTGTGCAAGAACCTAAGCTGTGTGAGTTTTAACATTAGTTTGGCTTCCTGTGGCTTCAGGTGACGTGAGAATCCAGCTCATTTGGTTCGTTTCTGGTTCAAGGCACTGAACCAGCCCCTGAATGGGTTAAATCTGTTCCTAGGCTTACTGTCTGGTGAGAAAGCCATTGGAGAGGGCCATAAAGGGAGAGTGCCTTGATAACCATACCATCCTTAAGCATCAGGACCCCCTTCCTTTGTCCCACCCTGTTTTCCAAGGAAATGTCTTGATGGCCATTTTCCCAATCCTTGAGTGATTCCTTGCTTCCAGAGGTCCTCAGAAAAGGCCACCAGTGAGATCTGGGACCATCTAAGACCTGTACATCCACGCTTATGCAAATGATGGTGCCTAGAAACATCGAGCACATGAGGAGAAACATTCCCCTTAGGGCTGACCTTGCCCAACATAGCCCAGTGAGCTGCATTAATTCAAATCATGCAAATGATGCACGTTTCAGTGGGTCGCATTGGCTAAACACTGGTTAATGCTGCAAATTGTTACTAAGTTAGCCATGGATGAGAGCCAGTTTGGTGTATGTTTGAGGCACCAGGCTAGGAACTGGGAGACCACGAGTTCTAGTCCCACTTTTGGTGCAAAGCCATCTGGAGGACCTTGGACCAGTCCATCTCTCTCAGCCCTAGGAAGGAGGAGGCCAGGGCAAACCACTTTTGAAACACCTTGCCAAGAAATCTGCAGGGACTTGTCCAGGCGTCGCCAGGAGTCAAAACTGACTTGAAGGCAATATATATATATATATATAGCCATGGGTGAGCCTGTCATGTGGACCCCATCCTAGCTTGTCACAAGGAACTGTCCTAGATAGCAACCAGCACCCTGTCACTATTGCTCTGCTACGCTTCCCAAGATCCTCAGTGCCAGCCTGAACCCATGGTTAGGATCCCAGGCAGCTCCTTTGTGCCCCTCTGTGCTCACCAAAAGCAGAGCTATTAAGGCAAGTTGAAGGGCCTGGAGGCTGCAGCTGCTTTCAGAAAAGCAGGGAGGGTGGTGGTGGGGAAATCTGTAGTTGTTACAGAGGTGTGATAATGAAGGTGGTTGAGAAATCCAGCCTGGGGCTTCCTTTCCTCCTCCCCTTTTCTCATTTTATCTGTAAAACTGCCAGAGGGCTTACAAAGAGTTTACAAGGGGAAGAGGGGGAGGAAGCTGAAGATAACACCACCAAGCACAAAGGGCTAAACTGAAATCTCCAGAAAGAAAGAATTAAAAAAAAAAAAAAAGATGAGATGGTTTCAGAAGACCCACAGTGCCATCTCGTGGTCCAGGTGTTGCACTGAGCCTTGCCTTGGCAATGTGCATGCTGTGGTTTCTTCACATCAACAGCCTTTCTGGCCGGGCGCATTCACACCTTGGTTCCCATGGAATGGAAGGACAGAACTGCTTGAGGGTGAATCAAACAGACCGGCTTCCAACAAGAAATGGACAAGGAGTCCTTTCAGGTTCCGATTTTGTTTTACAGCACGTGTGCCACCAGCAGGTTGTTGGAAATGAGCCTGCATTGTGGGTGCTCTCACAAAATGGTTCCCCGGATGGACATGGACCATCACAAAACATCCATCTGCCTGGTTTGAGTTAACACAGCTCACTGGGCTATGTTGGGCGAGGTCAACCATAATGGGAATGTTCCTCATGTGCTCAATGTTCCTAGGCACCATCGTTTGCATAAGCATGGATGTACAGTTGGGTTGCTCCCTGTCATTCCCTCTAAGACCCCCAAAGTTGCTGTCTCTCGCCCCTATTTCCTTTGCCTTTTACCTACCATCAACGTTTTTTAAAGACTTTGGGCCAATCTAGGAAATCAGAATGATGTTCTGTTTTGCAGAAGTGGTAAATCCATCCACATCTCACTGAACTTTCCCATAATGTCCAACACGGGTAAAAAAAAATGCTTTGCACCACCATTGATGGGTTCCAAGCCAGGAGTGATGTAAGAAACATTCAGGGTCAGATTTGAGTGGCCGACTGTAATATGCATAAATCAATTTCAACATAATTGACTAAGCGGTTGACATAAGGCCCTCTTTCTGCCTATATGAACTTTAGTCCAAGGGCTGGGACATCCTTCAGGATTGGATCTATCAATAAAAAGTCTACCTTCCTGGAGAGCTCCTAAAATTATGCAATATATATAATAATCTAAAGTGCTGCAGTCCGTGAGTTCAATTCCCAGTAGAAGGTTTGAACCCCATAGTATAAGTTTGAACCCCATAAATATCCCATAGTTTGAACCCCATAAATTTGTGGCTATGAACATCTGTTTCCTAATAAGGATGAAACCAATCATATACTGCCTCTTGGGGATATGTAATTTTCAGTATTGGCCAACCCAGCTAGGAGACGCCGGAGTTATAACTCAGCACCTTTGGAAGGCTGCTGGTTCCCTCTGCTCTGTGAAATGGGCCTCCATAGTTGGTTATAAAGCCGGGATAAGTAGAAACCTGAACGACCTCTAACATTATGGGACTTTTAAAAAATGAAAGAAAATATCAGCCTAGATAAAACTTGTTTCATGATGTATCGAGGCTGGGTCTTCCCAAACAGAACAATTTCCCTCTTGTAAGTCTTATCTCTGTTCAATCTCTTTATGCCGCTGTTAGCCAACCAATTCAGAAGAGAATGAGAAAGGAAGACAAACCAGGTTAGAACCGGGAAGGAGGAAGGCTGAAGGATAAATCTCCTGTTAACTGAAGCTGACTTTTTATCTCTCCGCATCTTTCGACTGACACTACATTAGGGAGGTTGACGTCCAAAATCCCTGGAGGTCCAAATCCAATTTGAAATCAAATGGAAAAGACCAGCCAGCATTGGAAGAGAACAAATTGATTCTGTCATGAGAAAAATTAGCACAGAAACAGGTTTATCTCTTATTTCAAGCTCTTAAAATAACAGCCAGGAGGTTTTAATAAGGGGAGGAAGGGTCAATCCTGATCTGATTTTGAAAATTAACAGAGGTTCAAAGCCTGAATTGGCCAAGCTGGATGAAGGTCGCAATCCATGTGTGAACCAGTCCCTGGGAAAGGAGGGTTTGTTAACTCTGCACTATATTTAGAAGAAAGACAGGCTGTTTCTTAATGCCTGTAATTTGTATTCACCAGACAGGGTTGGCTCTGATTAGCAAACCATCACTGACATCAAAGTCTACTCCATCCATCAAAAACCATGCACTGTTCTTCCCTTCATCAAAACATCACAATCAGAAACATTGGACTCTACCCACTGCCGTTCCTGGCTCCGCAAAGCCATGGACTAGACATAACAAAATGAGAAACGATGATCTCTTGTGGTTCATCACGAGTACATTTTAAAAAGACAGTTACAGGCTTGCTGTTCTCCTAAAATACATGCCCTTGCTGAGTTCAGAATGCCTGAGGCGCGGATGGAATCGGAGTTGTCCAACACAAAATCAGAAGTCACACAGCCCATGAAAGCTTATGCCCTTTAATAAACTTTGGATGAGGTCTTACCAGACTCCTCCTGATTTTGGCTCTTCCTTTAATGTCTACAACATGTTCTGGTATTTCTCCAGAGACAGCACACTCTTTATAACCCTAAAGAAGCTTTTTGATTGATTGATTGATTATGTACCATCAAGTTGTTGTCAACTCTTAGCAACCACATAGATAAATTTTCTCCACGAAAACAATCATTTTACAGTTACCACCCATGTGGTTTTCTTGGTTAAAAAAAAAGGGGTTACCATTGCCTTCTCTCGCACAGTAAGAATTTATGCTGTGGCCTTTGTCACTAAAGTGATCGTCCACCTCCAGCATCTTCCTTTAGCTGGGCAGCTGGAATGACCTTCACGCCTGGAGTGACCTTGCTGGGAATAGATACTCTTGGCATACACTCCTGACGTTCTTTGCTCATTCTTCCCAGGAACATCCTTCACCCCTGCCATGATGAAGCAGCACAACAGGACCAGGGGTGAAATAAGCTCCCGCCACCCCCCACCCCAAGGATGGACCTTGTGAGCACAGACAGCAAAGATCCCCAAGCATAAAACCACACAAGGAGGAATGCTGAGGACCAAAGGTTGGATGGAGACTGTGGTCTTCATGGCCGGCCTCCCAGAGGGAACCATTTCCCATAACCTGCATATCGGATATTCCCATAACCTGGATATAACCATTAGCCCCAATTCTTATTTCCCTCCTACCATTGCACCCTTGCCAAGCTGCTTTCGATCTTCAGAACCATAGGAAATCTTGCTCCTGCGCCACTTCTAACGTATATACTTCTCCTGATGATTTCATACGAACCGATCCAAAATCAATGCCTCCAAATTACGGCATGAAAAAAAACAAAACGTCTTTTTTTAATTTATTTTTTTATTATTAAGAAGAAAAAACACATAGAAAGAGCTTTAACAAAAAAGTGAAAGAAATACAACAAAGAAAAAAAGTTAATATGTCATAACAGTAAACAATTACAATTCTATCTATACTTATCTAATGCAATTATTATTCAAGTGCATATTTATTTCTAATACATTTATATGACTGTATTTTTTAACCTAAACTAAATAAGTTTTTGACATGTTAGCTGGAGTCCCACCCTAAATAAATAACAACAGTAATAATATGAATTTTCATCATCATAAAACAATATAAAAATGCCTCAGCAAGCACAGGAATTCCAGGAAGACAATTTCCATTTCAACTATTGCAACTTTAAAACCCAGATTTAAAATAAGAGGCGGCCAAGAAAAACTGCAGACCTGTTTCAGTAACATTTTTGGTTTTGGAATTACTCCTGGTTTTGAATTTGCTGCTCTTGAAGGACAAAATTACCGAGACCAAAATAAAGTAATTCACCCTTGCTTGGATTGCGAAGAAGCAGAAATAATGGCAAGAAATTTATTTTGGGCACCTCCTGTTTACAAATTACAACTATTTCGACTTCAACTGCCTGAATTCTGCAATTTATTTCCTTTTTTGCCCCTTCAATTAACCTTGGTAATAGCCAACAGCTGTTTTCATTTTCAGCTCCGCCCCCCGCTTTTAGCAGCCAATGAGGGGGCAGGATCAAACCCCGCAGGGGTGGGGGGGTGGAAGAAACTCCTATTTCTTCTTGTAGGAAGCCTGCCGTGCGAATCCTAAGCGGGGACATGAAGGTTTTGCCCCTCAAATGGCGGGTTCCACGCTCTGCGCTTGAGAACCGGAAGTGTTGGGATAGACTGAAACTTTAAAAGCCGCTCTCCCTTTGAGGCCATGAGGAAACTAGTTAGTACACTAAAAACTTCAAGTAAAAAAATAAACCCACTGAAGACTTTTGGTTGAATAGGTAGAGAGGGACACAGGACTTGATACTGTATTGGTAGGAAGAGAAAATCCCTATGATTTGTACTGAGTGTGTCCACTGAAGACAGTAATGGTCTCCTTGACTGTTATAGCTCTACGTTCATAGAGATGTATTCTAAATCTAGGAAAGGTTAGAGATTGCAACCATAGAGGTGGCGAGGGAGAGAGCGGCCCCACCAGCACCCTCGTTGCATGGACAGAAATAGAGACATAAATTGTAACTTGGAAGTGGACTTTCCTCAGGTCTGTACATATCATCCCTGTCTTTCTTGAAAAAGTAGATTACCCTAAAAAATGCAAAACACTGAATTAAAAAAAAATGAATAGGCTAAGGAAAGGGTGAGTGGGGTGTGCATGCACGAACTTATGAGAGCCCCTATGTGCACAAAAGTGAGACCTTCATGCACATATATCCATCTAGGTTTATATATGTATGTATATACCTTCCTATAGGCGTCTATATGTTGGAACCCATCTGCGTAGGTGCATTTTAGGGGATTATAATTATAATATGTAATTATGATATAAAGCAAATTTAATTTCTAATATAGTTTGTGATTGTAATATATATTATTGTAAGCACATATATGTGATTATATGATATAAATAATGTAATCATGCATATATGGATATATTTACATCATGTCATCATATATAATATGCTGTATAATATAGATATTATTTATAGCATATCATCTACAGTATATATATGAATATTTTATTTATATCATACCATATCTCTATATTAATATAGATATGATTATATATATTATATATATATTATATTGTATTAATATATTATATTATATATTATATCATTACTGTATATTGATATATATGATT